TATTTAATACATACATATTTTCTCTATAAAATATAAAAAAATTATTAAAATCTAATTACTAGTTGCTAAGATAATTCAAATAATCTATCCTATCATATAAAATTTTATTAATCATTATATATTTTAATTATTTCGGCAACCAGTAATAGACTTTAAACTTTTTTTTTATTTTATAAAGGAGAAAAAGTACTTTCAAATAAAAAAAATCAGTCAATTTTAATCATTAGAAGCTAAGATAATTAAGATCAAAGTTTGCTATTACAATCGTATCATTATGCTACGATTTTGACAGTGATTATCATGATTATCACATGACACAATGATAGTAAATGACTTGAAATGACCCAAATAACTTAAATAACTAGTGACCAGTCATTAGATCATTTTAAAAACCAATAACCTGTTATGGTTATTTAAATTATCTATTAAAAATATAATTAGTTATTTAATACAAATATGCCTATAAAAAATTACAAATTAACTTTTTATCAGATTGCAGGTCATACGTATATACGTATAACAAGTCTGAATCCATATTTAAAAATCACGTATAATAAAAAAATCTATACAGTATCAATGATTTTCTGTGTATACTAAAATATGTAAATACAACTAATAAATAATAATTTATATAGTGTGTAATATAAATTTGTACGCTAATTGTTTTTCAATTTTGTATGCTAATTGTTTTTCAATTATTTAAGGTACTGTGCATAAATTATTTCCAAATCAATTGAAGTCAAGTTAGAGCAATTTATTTTATTTAACTGCTAAAATTTTCAAAACTTCTACGATTTTTAATACCAATATAAACTCATTACATTTAATTGAATTTATTGGAGAACAAAAGAAATAGGTGAATCTAATGAATTATTAAATAATTTTAACAAATTCTATTTTGCCAATGAATCATCTGCTGGGTGAGTAGTGCACCCACCAAATTTAAATTCAGGTAGTTCATCATCTACAATTTCACCATTCTCTAACCGATTTTTACTGTTTAACATTTCAACCCAGTTCTCAATTATATTTGACCAATTTTCTTTTTCATCAAAAGTTTTAGTCTCATCGACTATGTCTTCTTTGATTGTTTCAGTTACTTTGGTCACTTTGGTCACTTTGGTCGCTTTGGTCATTTTGGTCACTTCACTTGGCAGATTATCGGTAGTTGGTGAGCAGATTTTGTTGTCACTTACAGTTGATTTTTCTAATTCTTGCACAAAATCTTCATTATCGTTCTGAGATCGAATAGGAACTGCAATATGAATTCTTTTATATTGTTGTTCAGATATTTCAATATACTACATTTTCGCTTGCTTAGTATGTCACCACGCAATTGGCTTATTGCTAATATTTTTTTATACTTAAAATAACAAATTTAAATTAATACTATATACTATAAAAAATTAAAATAAAATAAATATTTGTATATACCAGTAAACAATTTCAGTGGTTCATATAAAAAAAACCTATAGTTGACCATAACCTTTCAACCGAAGCTGAATTAATGCATATTTCAAATAATTGTAAGGCTAGACAAAACAATTCTGGTGCAATATCCTTTGCTGAATCACAAAAATCAATAATATTTTTATCAAACTGGTTGTAAATCTCTTTATTAAAAGGAAATGCTTCTCTTTGATATAACAAAAATTCATATAAAGTGTGTATTGGTACTTCTTCAAACTATATATAGTAATAATAATACAACCATTTACTAAAATATATATAGAAAAGGCTGGAAACACAAGAAGAAAACTTGGAGAGCTAATATTTTAGATGTAAAAATAGTAAGAGTAGTGACTGTTTCTATTGAGGCTACCGATTTTTTAATCAGACAACCATATAATCTGCAAAATTTTCATCTTTAAGGTTTGAAAAAACCTTAATAAGCTATCTAAAACAATGTACGATCTTGTACAGTTTTGCAACATCTTTCTGAAGTTTATTTAGTGCACAGCACAAAAAATATAGCAAATTCTGAAGTTTATAAAGTTGACTCCAAAAATTGGAATTTTGTATGATTGAAATAATATCAGGTGGAAGCATTTTGTTTGTATTAGAATTTCCTGTCATAAATCGTTGCTACGAAAGTCTACTCCAAGAAATACTAGCCAATCTGATTCTAGTGGGTGAAAATTTTGTTGCCAATGTCTAATTAAATAAAATTTTTATTAGAATCTTTTAATGTTTCATAATTGGTGCCAAAATTTGTTTTGTAAAAAATTTTAATTTATTATAAAATATATTATCTTAAGCATAGTCTTGGTTTTCAATATAGAATGAAAACAAAAATAAATACTGTTCTAGCGTGTCTCAGCTAGGAAAATAAAAGAGTCAGTTTGTCCATAACATGACCTTTGCTTATCTCGTAGTAATCTGGTAAAATAGAGAGATGAATAAAAATAGCTTATAACGTATATTGCATTTTTCAATATTCTTTTATATATATCAGATTCTTTGAAAATATTGCCAACAACTAAGTTTATTTGATGTGCTATACAGATATAAAAACCTTATTAGGATATTTGATTCTTAGTTGTTGTCTATAGAAAAAAGTTCATAACATTCATTAAAAAATAATCTAGATCTATATATAAATATAAGTACATTAATATATATTTAAATGTATCTTGCCGCCACATATTCATTAGCTGAATCTGATACATAGCAGTTAATTCGAATGCCTTCCTTTTTTGCATTATCTATTACACTTTTAATAAGAATTTTTTTACATTTTTAGTTTTTGACCGTTGATTACTAATATTATGTGTGTTTCAAATTAAAGGTACACCCTAAGAAGTAATTAAGACAACACCAAAAAAATACTCCTGCTTTATGTTTGTTCAACTATCAAAAGCTGCAATTATACTAATCCCATCTGCACGTGCATGTTCTAAAATGTTTTTATTTAATTTCGTTGAAACCTTTAGGAGAATTCGATTACTTATCACCTACCAATTAGGTAGTTTT